AACAGAAAATTTCCCCCGTGTTCTGAAACATTTTCAGAATGCGCCCCGTGTGTCCACCCTACGAAGAAGCGAAACCGCTTCTTCCGAGGTCCCTCCGCCCCCGGGAGCGTCGCGCCGGAGCGCGGCATCTGACGCGACAGGGGTTTGTCGCTTCCACCACCGCGAAGCGTCGTCATCAGTAGCTGATAAGGCCCCGCCACTCGAGCAGGCGGCGTCAGCAGACAGCATGAGGTGGCCGGCGGCATCACGCCACGGCTCCGAGCATCAGGTCTGTGAAGTCTTTACACAGTTCATGGTTCGAAGAGAGCACAGCACCGCCTCAAAGCTCTACCTACTCCATCCCCAAAGAACTAGGGCCCGATTTCGTTGCAGACAATTATTGCAATTAGCTTAGCGTGACTCCGGCGGATATTTGCTTGTTAAAATATTTTATATTTTGTTTTTGAAGTTCGTACAAAAAAAATTTCTAAATTATTATAGTTGTTCCGCTTGTCCATTTTTCGGGCACAGAAAGTTACAAGAAACACCGTCTATTACTGTGTTTACATTTTTGTTTCGAAACCAAACTCATTTTAATTACAGTCAACCTTATGAATCAAGTCGAAATGATTGATGTAAATTGTGAAAAGAATATAGAAACATCCGCAGCGAAGTTGTAGTTACAATGAAACCATTAGAAACATTATAATAATAATCCTTTCGGAATATTCTACGCAAAAGCTGTTAAGAATTTTGCCATTAATTTTTCTTGTCCGTCAAAAGAGCGAATCGAAAAAGTTATTGAACGCCTCTGCATGGCGTAAGTCGCCTATAATTAATTAATTCGCTAAATAATAAAAAGATGCGCATTTTAGAAAAATATCTTAGAATCTTCTGGATAGATCCGCAAAAAAATTATTAATTGAAGAGATCCATTCGTGTTGATTACAAACCATATTCTAAAATGGGCAATCAGCGACTAGCTCATTATTATAAGTATATGTAGTTGAATGCATCAGCAATCCAAGCGGGTACTTAGAGCCCCATATATTTCCAAACAACATTTCGCATTAGTTCAGTATATAAAAGAATATTAATTTTCGGATTACAGCGATTGTAACTTATCTTCACATTTTTGTTGATGTGCATGATCAATATTTCTATATCAATGACAAGTGGCACTTTTGATTTGGTCATATTTAGGGCACCTTAAGGAATCAATATGGTGCTACTTACAAAAAGTCGCTCGCTCCCTTCTCTACCGTTTTAGTGTATTACTTTTTGTATTGTTGGATCTGCACATTTTGAAGTGTGAAAACAATTAATTTCTAATTAAGATGAGCAACTTCATTGAACTAATTATAGCGATGACTGTGGTTTTGATGCTTTTTGTAGTCGTACAGCATGGTTAACAGCAAAGGAAATCGCATTTTAACTACGAAGGAAAAATTGGCGGAACTTAAGGAAGAGGAAAGCGAGTAAAGGAAGAATGACGAATTTGTTCTCTTTAAAAGAAATTGACACCAAACCTCGCGAGTGTTTCTGCTGAATAGGGAATTACCCTCCAGTACTGCACAGAACAGATTTACGACGAAAAAAAATATAAACGTTCCTAGATTATATTACGAAAACTGTTGGCGCGCAAGCAACCTGCAGCACAAGGTGGACTACATTATCATCATTCACATCTCCGACACAATGCGTTCTAGACCGTTAAACCGATTGTCATGTCCCGAGACATTTCGTGGGCACTTGAGTTTCTTAAGATATAATCTACAAAATAATGCCTTTTGTAAGTAATGGTGACCCTTGACTAAGGGGAAGTGGCGAGACTGAAGAGTCCCTGATTTCGAGTACTAGTCATTAGATTTAATTCATTAGGTCTAATTAGTCCCGTAAGTGCAGTGCACGTTGCGCGGGGCGAGAGGCGTCGGGCGGCGCCCCACCCAAGACCGAACCGACCAAAACCACCCACCTGAAACCCACGGATGCCCAGCGCGCATGCCAAGCGGTGCCGCGTTAATGCAGATGCAGCCCGCAGGGTACATGCCCCCTGGGGGACGATAGAGGATGGGGCCAACTGCGCCCTCACATTTGTTGACATGGGGAACTGCTTTGCTCGTGGATAACGGTGCGTGACAGTTATGTAGGCAAGTGCCCATGCCAACTAATTACTCTCAGACATATTACATCTCAAAGTTGATTTTAAAAACTATTTGTTAATTCGACGTTCGTTGCATCTTTTGATAGAGTACCTTTAAGGTAGGCTAGAAAGGAATCCAATAAGGTTGCAATAAATAACATTCATATGGACTACACAGACAATTTATGATTTGAATGAAGTCAACATCATTTGTTCTTCATTTTTGAACAAGCAGGGCAAGGAACAAACAATGATGGTAGATTTCTTAAACAACGTCTGATATTATAATCTATTTTATAATATTCCCAGTTAAAAACTATTCAACCGATCCAACGGACATTTCTGTTAAATCGTTGTACCTTTGCAATCTTAGGCTTCTGCGGCTAGTCATGTGCAGCCTCTACGCTGACCAGGTGACGACGCAGGGCACTCCAGCCCCAAAGAATCCCATATAATTGTGGAAACGCCACCATCACTGCCATCGTGGCGTCACCGGGACAGCTGAGAGTCCCCACTCGTTGAACCCACGTCCCTACGAATGTTAAGTAGCATCCAAATTATCTATCATATCTATTAGAAATCTAATTTCATTACTTATCAGAGTCCCATTATCAATCCTTTGTTTTTATTTCTGGGTTCCTAATTGAACACAAACTTCTTTAAACTGTTTCGCGGAAATGGAAACAATTGGGAACCATTGCACCACTATGTTCCACACCGTAACAAATACTTCAAGCAAACAAATTCTTATTAAGCTAATACTAATTAGCACTATTTTCTACATATTTAAAGTATAATTGAGTGAAATATCTCGAAAAATTAAGACACCGGTTATGACTGACATAATACACCGTATACTCCCAGCGGGCATTTAAAGCGAGACCATGTGACCCCGCCAGCTGAGGGGTCAACACACACTACAGTGGGAGGAAACGCAACCATTAGGATTAATCTGTCCAAGTTTTTGTTCTAGGTTCGGCGATGTCAGAGCAAAGCATTGCAACATAATGTTCCTTGGGTCCTAAGAGATATCAGTTGAAATCCTCCTTGCCCTCTGCTCATAAAACCCGAGTTTCCAACCTGTGAACGGAATCGCATGGCTGAAGTAGCCGCAGGGATGCGACAGGAATACGCCTCCAACCCTTAGAGTCAAGTTTTAAATAATGCAATATTTTACTCAAATTATAAACGAGTTATAAAATATGTTCGTGTTGTAAATTATTTCTATAATAGCATTACATATAAGTCAAAATTTCGATTTCTTTATATATCAGATACCAGAATATGATCATATGGGTGAGCTGCGAGATATAATAATTTAATCCTCACATGCCGACATTTGAGAAAGATTAACGGAAGCTGGAATTAAGTGGATTTTCAACACTGTCAAAATATTGTCTATAAGATTATTTTCTGAACAAAATTGGGAGAACAAAGTTTTGTGTATAACTTCTAATTTTAATGTATTGCACGTTCACTAAACAAATGAATAAATACTTAATTTCGACATAATAAGGGTGTGAGCAGTAATTCGGTATGGCGACGAGTGTAATTACAATAAATATTTAAATATCTTACCTACTGACAAAAGAAATCAAGGAGCATATGGCACATTAAAGCATTTAAATAATTTACGTCGAATTTTCTGGCAATTCAGGCCCAAATTCACGACATACGCTATATTAATTCATCCGAATATTCGATCTGTGAAATACCAATACGTAAAAAAATGACTTCAACAAGATATTTTCCAGAGCATTGTAGTCTCTGAGAAAAGCTGATTCTGGGATCGACATCCCTTCTTCGATATTAAATGCAAATTGTTTAAATGTGGCATTATTTTGTTCTTGATACTTTAAATTTACAGTATCTTACGTTTTAATTTAAAAAAAAATTATTACGTGTGAAATTCCAAACCGAAAATTAATATAATTGAGAAAAAAGTTCAAAACAGAAGATCTTGTAAAAAATCTTAACAATTTCAAAGACGTTTTCAAAATAACTAAATTTTCACGTCACGAGAAGTTAATATAAATACCCAGAGATGTGGAGTTTACAAGAGGGAACAGTACCAGTACAAAGAAGAGATGAGAAAATACAAGGAAAGCAAGAAAAGATAAAGAAAAAAACTTTAAGTGATATTTCATTAGCCAAAATCAAACTATAAAAGACACAACGAATAAAAAAATAACCCCAAAAATCAATAATACCAAAATAAGTAAACCATTGAAAAAGAAGTATATGATGGATGCACATAAAATATATTACACATTAATAATACAAACACTGATTCATGGGGCTTAGCCAATAGAAATAATTAGAAAATTTACGAGTAGTTTACCAATCCCTTCCACCGAACAAGCCCCATGAACCAGCCTTCATTATACTTCCATCTTAATGATACCTATTCTCCACGTTTCATTAATAAAACAGTTTTCTGGAGGCCTGTTTAATGCCGAAGCCCCGGCGTCAGCCCAGCATCCTCACGCCTTAAAAAGGCGCAGATTCAAGGAGAACAGCACCCCCGAGCAGCGGCCACCGGCCCACGCCGCGCCCGGCGGAGGCCCAGCTTTAAATCGGCGCGGGCCGCCCGCTGCCCTCGCCCCCGCCCTAACAGGCGGCGGCCGCCGGCCCTCGCTCACCTGCGGAACGTCGCCTCGTATTCGCGGATCTCCCGGCGACTCAGCTCGTGGAATTCCGTGAAGACGGACACCCTGGGGGCCGCCACGGCCGACGGCGCCACGGGCCGGCCCTCGTTGATGGCCTGGCGGCGGTCGAGCAGCGAGCTCAGCTCCGCGTCGGCCGGCATCTCCTCTCCGCGCGAGACGATCGACCACCACACGAAAAGCACACGACTCCTCCTCTCGCTCCGCCACACGTACGACACACGCGACTTCTCCCGAGCCGGGCAGCGCAGTCCGTGCTTTCCTCTGCGCCCAAGGCCTCGTTCTCCAGCTGACTGCGCGGTGTCTGCCCCACTGTGCCAGTGCGCCTCCGCCGGCGGCGGGCGGGAGGAGGGAGGGAGGGAGGGAGAGGGCTGCGCATGCGCCGTGGCGCGCCGCGCCGGGCCGGGCAGCGGCTGGGCCGGGCTTCCTCCAGCGCGACCTATCGACCGGCAACAATGTCCTCGGCGGGGCCCCTGTTGCGGCCTTAAAGGGCGGCCCCGCGCCCGAGCGAACGGGTTAGGGAGCGGATGACCGGTTTTGGGCCGAGGCGCTGTCCTCACGTAAGCGCGCCTGATTTACTTTCCCGCCCCCCTCGCCGGGCACGGGGCCTCGTTGGGAAAGGAAGTACTCACCAGTAACGGTATACTGTCAACAATAACAAAAACAGTAACAATAACCAGTGGCGCAACCAGAATTTGTCTTGGGTGAGGGATTGCAAGAGTTAATGTCCACCAGGCTTAATATATTTTACAAATGATTTTTCTCTTATGCAAATGTTATAATTTATTGTTAATTGTTGATTTAGAGTTATTTACACCGTGTTCAATTGAAATACAGAATGGCTTTTAGTAGTATACAAAACTATTAAATACTATATTTTTGGAAGATTTGTCGCCTGTTTCTGGGGTTGGATGCTAAAGCCGGTGGTTGTGCCATTGACAACAACAATGACTGACTCATCAAAACCTGACTTAAATTTGGCAGTGTACAATGGTGCATGAACATCAAATCCATAAGATCGTACCACACCAGCAAACAAACCGGATAAGTTAATCGGAATTTTGAGAAAAAATCGAGCCTACTTGTAAGTGTTGCTGTGTCACGCGATCTCAACTCGGTTCGAAACCAAGGAATTACAGAAACGTGTCATTTTCAAAAGTTTGGACATCGCGCTGGATGTGGGGTGTAAACACATGAGTTGAACCAATAGTTATCGTAGTTCTGGGATTTTTCAGCAAAAAATGTACAGGAACTTGTCCAAACTCCCATGTCATTCAAAAGGCAGGAAAGTGCAAGATACTGTGTTTATTGGGAACGGTCATTTGTAGCCCCAAATTTTATTGAGATACTCAGTCACAACATCGTCTCTAACGAATTAAAAGTGTCATTTTTAGATTTTGAAAAATTCTTATAAATCTACCGTTTCAGAATCATCCGTGCTTGGACTGTGTGTAGAATGTGTAGAAGTGATGCTTAGTCGCCATGATTAGTTCAAATAAAGGAAATAACCACATGTAATATGATTTGATTTATTTCGTCTAAAAAAGTTTAAAGAACCGTTTAAAAAAAATAATTCAAAGAAATGGAATATAAGATAACTTTAGATATTAAGGATCACTGGCGGTTCAGCGGGGGGAATGGAGGCAAGGAACCCCCCTAAAAGGCCCAGTTTTAGTTTGTAACCTTCTTTTATTCCGCAAAATTGATTTAAATATTCATTTATGTTAGAATTATGTAATTGTTTAAAAATTAATATTGTATATAGTATATACTACATAATATATATAAAAATGCAAAGTAATATCAAAAACATTCAGTAATATCATATATATTCTACAAAAATAGAGTACAATATAATAACAAATGTTTATTGTTTAACAAAAATCTATGATGATCGCCTCCAAAATGATCGGCTGGATCCGCCCCTGTTTATGATTGACATTTCTTCAGAAGCTTGTCGTAGGGCTCAAAAATGGAAGCACTCACGTCAATATCAGAAACTCCGTTATGTCTTCTCAGGCTACGGAGTTGCTGTTGACACCAGATAAACGTTAGTTAACATTTGGATTAGATAAGAGTTTTTCTACCGGTTGTCAGTCGAAAATAATCATATTATTAGCAATCTAATAAATGACATAAGATTCCACTTCATATAGATCAATCAATATTCCTTCATTTTGATTTAGCTGTTTGTTTAGAGTAAAAGTAAATTCACCTTGTCTACCCCACTACAGCAAAGTCACGTGCAACCCAGTATTGTATCTCAGCTTCTAAGTCAATGACCAACATCTCGATCAATTTCCCTGATCCTTTACGCAAGTGCTGAAATGGCCCCTTTTTTTGCTTGCGTAAATGTTACATAAATGTAACTTCACCATCTATGCACGTCTTCTAGAGTTCCATGGGAAGTATAGTGATTCACATTATCATATTTTCTATATTTTCGCGACAAGATGTTTATTTCTGCAGGAAGGGCACGATGAGGGATAACAGCCCGAGTATATAGTTGATTTGCTCTTGTAAATAGTTTTTATTACACCGGAGCGAACATTTTCTTATCAATTCTGGCCAAAAACGCCCATTTCCTTTTGTGTTAAAAATTCAACTTGTATATGGTTTAGGGTACGGATCCCAGAATTAAGAAAATGTACAGTGAATACTCTCCTCCCTGTAGCACGACACACACTGACTTTTACTGTTTTTGCCGTTAAATAAATAAATGCTACCTCACTCCGTAATGATGATTGATTGACTTTTGCGGGCGCGGTAACTGTAAAAGTCAATAGTTCTGTGTAGTGCATGTTTTATCGCAGGACGCGGCAGCGTTCCTTACCTGCTGGGTGGTGAGGCCCGGCGCCAACCTACACGTCTGCTAGCGGGTGATTTCCCTCTGCAGATACATCCCCTTTGCACAGGGGCACCTCCCAGGTGAGATAATCTCTAAGCATCCGACTAGTCGCATGTGGTAGGATGGTGTGCATTTATGCATACGTGTTTGTAATGGGAGAGGTTAGGACAAGGAAGGGGACGAAATATTTAAGGAGGAGGATCCCTTTTATCAGGGTACTGCTCTGACATTCGCCTGGAATTAATCGGAGAAACCACGAAAAACTACCGATTAGAGCAGCCGACCTCTAGGGCTCTCCTTCAGGCAGCAGCTGAAATAGACTCAGCTATTTAGCTAGTGTTGGAAATCCGCCACCATCAGTACTCGAACCTAGAACCTTCCGATCAAAATCGCTGCAGAGACAGCGGCAATGCCGGATCTTCGCTACACTCATTTGTTAATATTGGTAGCGCGTGAGTCCAGTAAAACGTACATACACTACAGAAATAATGTAGGTGATATGAAATTGATCAATAGGGGCAGATTTTGATGACCTAAAGCATAGCCAAAAATGATCAATAAAATGCTCTTAAAAAGCTTTTAAAATGCCCTAAATACAAAGAAAAATGACGTAAACAATTTGATCAAAACCACTTCAGATGAACAACTTAAGCTGTTAGATATGTTACTAGCTTCTTCCTTTCGTTCAAATGAACTCAGCTTGCAAAGTTTGTGTTTGGACTGTTCTTTAAATCAAAATCTCTGCCTTTATTTATCGCGAAATTGGTCGAACTGACAATTGCATGGATAACCGTCACAAGCCTTAGATCACATAGTACTCACAACGGCTGACATTACAATATATCAGCGAAGAAATCGAATATGTTTTTCAGGAATTCTGTGGTGAATATTTGTAGCTCCTCGTAAATATTATTTGAAGCAAGTGTCATTAAAATTATATTAAAATCAATCAAATCAGCGAAAATGCACTAAAAATTGCTTAAAAAGTTAAAAAATAACTTATTAGTCAAAATCCACGAAAAATGAAAAAAAGTATACAAATGGGTCATTTCGTTTAGTCGCTACATAAAATGAATTTCTATACTGAACAGCATTATTCTATATTGAAAAAAATGATATTTCTTTAAAATCCGCCCCTATTGATCAATATACCTTTAAACGATCTAATTTAATATAAAAACCTGCTATATGAAATAGGCATAGTACAAGTCATGATAGTTTAAAAAAATACTATTAAATTTGAAATTAATTTTATCAGGTTTTTTTAAATTGCTCAATTAAACTGAATCGTCACGGATTTTTCGCTCATACTTATAATAGATAGAGGTGCTTTTATTTTACAACAGCTATTTCCCTCAATTTTTCAATGTCATCAAAATGTCCATAGAAATTAGTTACTCATTAGTTGTAAAAAAAAGTTCTGAATTTTTCCTCTAATAATTTGTCTTCACACTTTGGAGATTAAATCACTCACTTATCGGCCAAATTTTATATTATAAAAAGTTGTTAACAAGTTTCTGCCATTATTTAGATTGGTTATTTAGAACTCAACTAGAATTTAGAAAATTCGAATATAATTAACGTTTCATGTGTATATATATATATATATATATATATATATATATTATATATATAGTATTATAATATACTACAAAATGTTCAAAATCGTGCATTTAAAAGAATTTCAGAAATAAATTTAAAAGAACTAGAGAAGTGGGTTGAAAACGAGAGAAAATAAGAGCATCAAATTGAAACCGACAGTCTCAGTTCCAAAAATTGGTTTGTCATTATTTTATACATATCGTTCAAGAGTCTTCTAGACAGATGAAAATGTAAGCATGAGTTTCCTACAATTTTACTCAAACGATTTTACTGATACAATATTATTACTGTTATTATTATTATTATTATTATTATTATTATTATTATTATTATTATTATTATTATTATTATTTGCATTGCTGTGGCCATTTCTGACCACTATACACGATTAACGTGTATCAATAGGGGATCAGATTTTCTGCTGTATCCATTGGTAAGACAACATTGTTATGCCTTGAATTGTGAATTAAGAGGTATTAGGATGATGACGGGTGAAGGGACAAACACAAATACGACCATGCCTACGTAGGACTCGAACCTACAGCCCGTAGGCGCAGACGACGGTTACCATAATATTTTATAAATAATTAAATTCTAAACGAATCGTCTCAAGCTTGAAGGACTTTTAAGAAAGAACTTCCATAATTTGAACTGCGACAATGTTCCCAGAGAGCTCTTCTCGACTTCCGCTATCCTCTCTACTGGCTTCGCGCTTAAATGCGGTATTTGATCGGCATTTGACACCGCCTACATCATAGGCAAATATGTCGGGTAATTTTGGCAATGTCACTACCTTATCATTTTTATCTCCGAATTCTGAAGTGAATTCCTGGGAATGTTGATAACGCCTTATCGAGTACGGTTCATTTTATTTATATTCGACATATCATGCAAACAACAAACACCAGGTAACTCAATATCCTGTCACTAGTCATACTTTTCGATACTGCTGCAAATACCAGCAGTGAAAGAACAAAAAAATCACTACATTGACGGATATTGAAAACCGCAGGTAATATATTTAATTAAATTCATTACTTAAGTGAATACTTCTATTGTAGAAAATCTGGGCGGAAAAAACGTACCTGCATTTGTTGAACATTTGGTAAGACCATTATACTTCAGATAAGGGCTCTATATGAGAAATTATTTTCAGTGTTGACGAAATGAAAGATTTTTCATTTAGTCAATCGCC